AGGCGGAAAGAAATTATGTACTATGGCCATCAGAATTAATGCTATATTAGCTAAGCAATGCAGACTCAAGAACAAGGTTCTTTTAAGTAAAATACCTGCAGTTTCATTTTCTCCAGTAGATTTTAGCTTCAGCTTTCATGTTCACCCATGTAGTAAGTATGCGGCAGAGTGGCTCAAAGGTGAATGACTGATGGACAGTTAAGGTTATATGAAGGCTGTTCTGGACTTCCTGCAGAGTCTACACACTGGTTAAGAAGAGGACAGGCCACGGGAAAGCTCTGTTAGCATAAAATGGGGGATTTTAAAAGATGGAAAGGGAAATTTTCTATAGCTAATTAGCAAAAATCACCCAAGTGATAGAAGAAAACTAGCAACCTGTGGAGCAGAGTGAGTAAGCCATACTGCTCTGTTTCTCATCTGCATTGATCATAAAGGACTCCTGACTTGGAGAATGGAATTGTCCTAGTTTACCCCAGGTCCTGTGGCCTTATAATTTGTCAATTGTGGAGTTCTAAAGAACACAGTCCTTCGAATAAGGACTAAATGGTCTGTGGAAAGCATGGCTGTTCTTGAGAATCCTGAATGCTCTCTGGTTGACTGTGGTTATGACCCCAGCAAGGACTAGCCAGGGACTTCAAGCAAGTTCACTGGAGAATTACAGTCTCTCATCTTGCTTGGGAAATTTTTTACAGTGATAATTGACAAGAAAAAAAAAATGTGTCCACTTTTCCTTGTTTAAAAAGCATATTCTCACCAGTGTTCAGAGTACTTCCTCCAGCTGTCACTGAAGAAGCATATCTTCTTAAAATAGAGAACTAATGGATTAAATGATAAAGGATCCAATTAAAAAGTGGTCAAGATGATTAGATTATAACTAGGACTGGAAATTAAAAAACAAAACAAAGCTGGGGGTGGTAGAATGTGCCTGTGATTCTAGCAACCTGGGAGCTGAGACAAAAGGATTGAAAGTTTGAGGCCAGCCTCAGCAACTTAGGGAGGCCCTAAGCAATTTAGTGAGACCCTGTCTCAAAAATCAAAAATAAATAAATAAAAAGGGCTGTTGATGCATCTCAGTGATAAAACCCCTGGGTTTAATCCCCAATACCCCAAAACAAAACAAAACAACAAAAAATGAGACATAGGAAAACAGGAAGTCACAGATATAAATGTTCCCCTAATAGTACCAAGTAAAGTATAAAATGTAAGCTATGGTGAAAAAATTATTTGGAAATTTAAAAAAGAGGCTTAGAATCATTGTACAAGAAGTCTAAAACACTTAAGGTTGATCTTGGAACTAAACCTTCAAAAAGAAAGCTTAACTCTTAGGTAATTTAAATTAGAATTTAGCAAAAATAAAGGAGGTAGGCAGAGTCAGAACTGTAAATAGTCAGAGCAGGTCTCAGAGCAGCCCCAAACTCCAGGCACTGCTCCAGCATTGATTGGCAGGGTTTGTACCAGACACACAAGTGCCCTCTAGTGACCATAGGAGAGAAACGCCTCCCCTCCCCTCCTTTGTTTTCCAGGTCTTTCCTTATTTTAGTTAATAGAATATCATTTTGTTCAGAAGGATTATTTGGAAAAGTGTGTTTTTCTAGACATATCCTATTAAGGAAGCTTACAGAGTAGTCAAGGTGAGGTGAAAAGACATTAATCAAATGTCGAAGAGAAAGTCTCATGAAGCAATAAAAACTGCAGCAGAAGTTTAAAGCTATCCTTAGAAAAATTTTATCGTATTAAAGACGAAAGGCAGATTGATTCAATTTAACTCTGAAGTTTTATTCATTTTAACAAGAGCAGACTATTTCCAAGAGGAAAAAGAAGAGCAAAATGTATTTTTTTTTCCAGAAACAAGAGACCTAAAAAGTACTCAGAGAGTCATCAAAGAATTCTTTTTATTTTTTATTTTTTGAGAGTGATTGCCAAATTTGCTCAGACCTAAATTCATTTGATTAGGTGTCATTCACACAGCAATTTCAATCTGGTATATATATATATATACACACACACACATATATATATATGTATGTACATGTGCATATATATGTGTATATACATGTGTATATATATATATATATATATATATATATATATATATATATATATAGTTTGATTGGAACTTAGGTCTCCCATGATTATTGCAGTACAATAAGCCACATATTTAGCTTTTTAAATGTAATCATTCAGTTGCAAAAGAGGTGTTAAGCATTAAATGAGAAATATTGTGAACTCACTTTGCAAATTCCAAAGCACTGTATATAACAATATTTTGTCTGACAATATTTAATAGGTTATTAGGGAAACTGGTTCAATCCAGGCTTCCATCCTACATTTGTAGATTATACTCCCCACTATTCATTATTTTTCCACATGGCATCAATTCTGTTTCCAGTATTAAAGAAACTGGGAAACAAATGTCTTCACTAAACAAACCTTAAATTGGGGCCTCAAAGTCCTCATGCTTTCATTAGTCAGAGGACAATGAATGGAACTCTAACAAAATGATGCTCAGGAATAAATGTCATTTAGTCTAAGGGCTCCTTTGTGGGAAATGATTCAGTCTCATAATGATGACAAAACAAATCATAGAAATAGTTTCTTCTTAGTAGTACAAAACAGAAGGTGAAAAGTTGTGACTGGTGAGTCACTTGGACATAGCTCAGGAATTTTATTTCTTATTCTTTTTTTTCCTCCCATTGTTAGGAAATAAGGCATGATTTTAAAATTGTCTTTTCTTGTGGACTAAAATTATTGAATAAACGTAAGCCATACTACAGGACAGAAACTTCCCAAAGATATTTAGTCTTATTATTAACATTTCTGAAATACCTTATTCATGTCATATAATTCATTTTCACACATCTTCTTAGGAAGGGTAAATTCTTTTTCCCCCTCTCCCTATTTGTTGTATCGCTCTAGATTAATAAACTAGGCTGCTTATTTGTTGGCAAATTAGAACAGTAAGTAATGAACCAATGAGCCCAAGGGGAAGGCTTGTCTGTTGGGTTGTGATATTGTAGTTACCTGTGAACATGTTGTTTGGAAGCTTCAGAATACTTGTTACACAAATGTAGATATGATCTGCTGAGTTGTGCGCCTGGAGTTTTTTCCTGGTGCAGTGTCGATGAATTTGGGAAATATTTTACAGTATGCAATTTTTCTTGGACTTTCAAAAGCACACTCACATGTTAGTGATTCTCAGAAATCCAACTGCAGTCAGCCTGCTTAACTTTGTAACAATTTTCTAGGACTCTTCATGTTTTCCATGGAACACAGCTCTCACCAGTGCACTGCTGCTGCTATGAGTTTAGTTAATTGACCCTTTCTCATAAAATGCCAGTTTGATAGTTAGATTTGGAGACAATTGCCAATTGAGGTCTCATAGGGATAATATTATAAAAAAATATTAAGTAGGTTTATGGTCCAATCATCTGGAAAAGTGAGGATCCTGGATGATGAGTAAGCATCTTGTATAAGTAAGCTTTTCATAAAGCTGTATTTATTCAATTGAAAGGGCTGACATTTGTTCTGAATCCTTCCATTTTTAAAAAAGATGTAATCTTGGAGATAGCTTTTGCTTTACTCATTTGATCTTTATCATGAGACTCTGTAGTCTCCATCATGGCAGGAACAATCCAATTTGCTCACAATTGTAAACCCAACACTGTAGTTCGGGGGCGGGATCTTAAAGTCATTAACTAAATAGTAATTATTTCATTTGTGTCTTACTTTGAAAAATACATACTTGACATAGTATCATAATTATTTCTAAAATGCAAATCCAGGAATCATTGGACTAAAAGAAAATCAGATTTTGCTAAAAGTATATATATGACCATGGACATGGCTTCCCTTCTGTGGTGCCCAAAGATAACATTTCCAGCCCCTCTTGTATTCCAGTTGGGCCATGTGACTAATTTTAACCCACAGAGTGAAAATGGAAGTGATATATTTATGTCACGTCTTAATCCAATCTTTCTTCATTAGCAGGAATGAATACAGAGTATCCTTAATTCCTGAGAATGATGGGACCACAGATATCTGGGTCCTTGACTCACCACAAAAAAGAAAGGCAATCACAAATCACCAAATGAATCACACATATTGATCTATTTATCAAATACAAAATGAACTTTTTGCAATTCAACCACTGTTATATTTAAATTTGTTTCAGAAAGTGGTGTTACCCAACATCTCTATCCACCTCTCTATATAGATATACACAAAACTATACCTTCATAGACATATACTAGAAGCACTTGCACCAGAAAGTCAATAGTGGTATCTTCCAGGTAACAGGATTGCTAGATTTTATTACTTTTCCAAATCACCATATTTTCTAAATTTTAAGTGAACAGAGATTACTATACATTACTACCATACATTAAGATTATAATCAAGAGGAAAACAAAATAAACGCTATATATGTATATATACACACACACACACACAAACACACACACACATATATTTAATGATTCACAGCTTTAAGCCCTCTTTCTTTTGTTTTTGTGAATTCTTCAAGCCCTTTGTTTCACACCTCAAAACTGGTAACACATGTATCTTAGTCACAACATGGAAACTGCCAGTCATCCTTCCCTACTCCCAAGGGCATCTAGGGAGTAATCACCCCCAAATAGACGGGTAATGTTTTTGAAAAAAGACTCACCTGGATCACATTACTGTAGCAGGATCCTTCATTATGTGGTCTGCATGTGCAACTTTTAAATTTTGAAATAATTTCAAATTTTAAAAAAATTGCAAGAATGGTAAAATGAACTCCTATAGCCTTCTTCCAAAATTCCCAATTATCATCTTACTATATTTAAATAAAGTATCATTCTCTGTGTAGATAAAATATAGATAAATTTATGATAGATTTTTCCCCCTACTTGAACCACTTGAGGGCAAAATGAGGACAACTAGCAATATACATCCGAATTCTTGAAAATATGCATGATTATTTCTGTAATTATGATTATAGTGACTTAGTTGCAAGGAAATACTTGGAGATACCAGAACATTTTTATTATAAGAATGTTAGCAATACTTATCATTTTGAAAAACTAGAAAAGGTCTTTATGTCCAATAAGAATTTGGTTGAGTAAATTGTCCAGTGAAATTACACACTGCTTTCAAACGTTCATTAGGATAAATGTCAAATCTCTTAACGTGTCCGCCTTTGTTGACTGAGTCACTCTTGTAGCTACTAGGATTCCTTTGAAATTGCTTCAATCACCTTTATAAAAGTGATCACCCAAGGCATCCTCAACCTTGATGGATGCTGACTTTAAAAATGTCTCCCTCGCCTTTCTGCATCTCAGGATCAAACCAGGTACCAGGATACGTGGAGAGTCCATTCTCCTCAGGATTCAGGCACTCCTGACCGATACTCTTAGGAAGCAGGTGATCTGACTGAATCCAAGACAGCAACACAAAGTCTTTATAAGAAGCCTGAGATGGTCAGGAAGGTCTGCTCAGTGTAAGAGCCAACATCTTAGCATATAATGGAAGCTCCACAGAATTCCAACAAATGACCTATCCTCATTTCAAATAAAGAGTCAGTTGCTCAAAACCATAGATATTCATGAGTATCCCCAGGAAAAAAAGAAAGCCAACTTTCTTCTTAGTTACATCAGTGGAAAATAGGCTTTGGCTGGCTCCACAAATGCAAACTTCCAAAGCTCTTTTCCCTTTTATTGTTGGAATATTCACCCTCTGTACCAAGAACAATGAAAACAAACACAATATTATTTAATTCCCAATGAAAATCCTTTGACTTTGGTACCACAAATTCAGAAATTCTAAAATAAACATAAAATTTCAAATACAGGACATCTGGGATGGTCATATTTCTCATACAACTATTTGGATGGAAAACCCAAATGATACAGTTTCATACAATAAAAAAGTAAAGGTAACTACAAAATATATCTCATAAACATATTTCAAGCATTTCATAAAATGCACAAAGTTTAAGAATCAAGAAGAAAACACTCCAAAACATATTTATTGAAAATACAATACCATTTATGTTGACATTTTATGTGGGTCAGAAAGGGATTAAGAGTAGGGTGGAAAAATGCAACATTCTCCATTGAATTAACTGACAACATCAGATGGAGTCACCTGCTTCTCTCTAGGAGTGCATGAGGTACTATACAAAAATTGAATTTCTTTTAATTCATTAATAGGACCCAAACATATTTAGCTTAAGAAATAAGAATGGGACATAAAACCAGATATGGCTGAACCAAGAAAATGACAAGATTTTCAACTGGTGGCAACTAAAAGTTAGTTTATCAACTGCAATAAAAATAAATCTGCAAGGGCAACCATGACTCACACTGAGCCAGTGTTCAGCACGGGTGAGGTGCCCAGGGCCTGGTGAGGAGCTACACAGTCCTCACGCCTCCTGGTGGAGCTCTACCTTGATCTGGGACTTCATGAAGGACCCCTCATGGCTCATGGGGATTGCAGTCATTTCTCTGCCTCAGTCATCTACTACCATTTTTATAGTTCTTATAACATCCTTCTTTAGAAGTGACAGAGCTTAAGGAAACCCTTAACTGGCCACTTCTGAGCAGAGAAGAGGTGAAAGTACTTTGAGATGGTGTGGGATGGTTTGGAGGTACCAGCAGATAAGTGGAGAGACCAGAGCAGGCATCATCAAAAAGCTTCTTTTTATACTGTTATGATGAGAGCATTAAAAAAAAAAAAGAAGAAACATGAATGTCAAGTGAAACAATGAACATTTAAATAAAATGGAGGTGGAAGGAATTCAAAAATTTTTCTTTTCTTTCCATATGACTGTCCAATCTTTTTAAATGGTCATGCTCAGTAAGGCCAGTTTTATTTTATTGGCCATCTGTACAGAACATTAGACACTTCTGAGGAAAAGCAGAGCCTCCATTGACATCTTCAGGTAGACTGGGAAGAACATGGGAGGGGATGAAGGGTGTATATGAAACCAAAGTCTCCATAGTTTTCATGCCCAGGTAAGTGGACACAGTCTTTAACCTTATGTTAAATGACAGGTTCAAATCACAGAATGTTTTCTGGTCACTGGGTCATCAAGTACATCGGCATCATAATCACAAGCACTCGGTGCCCAGCATGCTGCCAAGTAACGTAAAACACATGAGCAACTTCAGAGAGAAATTTCTGTGCAGAAAAGAGGTGGAAGACCTTTCACACACCAGAGGTTCTGCTTTGTATGGTCTGACTATATCCGGAGGTAAGGCGGTCATTCCTTGAATCTGGAAAGCGAAGAGCAGACAATGCAGAAGACATGTGATTTAAGAGCAGGACTGGGCCACACTTGATGGCCACCTACATTTCTGCAGGGGATGAGGGGCAGGTGATGGTGGCAGAATCAAACACCAGGGAGTCAGAAACCCCAGGGCTTAGGAGGGAGATTGAACAGAGGGCCAGATGCTCCTCTGAAAGAACTACAGGGCAGGCTCCAATGCTTTCTGAAGCTCTCACCTAGCCTATTCCCACTTCAAAACAACTTCAATTTTAGAATGAATTTCCCTCTTCAAGGGGAGCTTTCATTTTCAGTCAACCCAACTAATCATAGAATAAAAATATTATCAGACACCTCAAAGGACAAGTGGATTTATAAATGTGGTATCTGATCCTGAGATTCTCCTGTTGTGGATCCAGGCAAAACATGCCACCTGGGCTCTCAGAAGTTAGATGAGTTTGGGCTCACCGACCACTCCGCGTTGTCTGTCTTAGAACATCTCACATTCACTGGCAGGCCAAGGACAAGCTTGTTGAAGGAGAGGCCTTCCTTCTTAGTCCATTTAAACTTATTCATGGCATCCATGAAAGAAAGGTTTTTATACTGCTTGGGGCTTTTGATAATGAAAGGCCATGTCCTGAAATTACATCAAATAACCACAATTACATTCAGAACAAAAGCATTGCATATTTCTTTCACTTTTCAACATTCTAACATAGATGTCATTTTTGCTCATTTTTACACAAATGGATATCTCAATGTCAAATATTTATAAACTCATTAGTGGTTATTAGAAGAAATATATACCAAGTGAGGAGTCTTTTTAAAGAACTATATTTCTTCTTTGAGGAGCAGATAGGTATTGCATTTATCTATCTATCTATCTATCTATCTAATCTATCTTGGGATTGAACCCAGTATGCTTAATTGCTGAAACATGTCCCCAGCCATTTTTATTTTGAGACAGGACCTAAAAATAAAGATCTTGCTAGAGCCTCACTAAGTTTCTAGGCCTGGCTTTCAACTAGCAATCCTCCTGCCTCAGTCTCCCAACCACCAGGATTAAAGGCATGTGCCACCATGTTACAGGTATTACTTTTGGAAAAAATAACATGGCCTAAGAAAACTTCCCCACAGTCTCACAATTCTAGATAACAATATAACCCATAAGTATTCATTTCTGAAGAGTGTGACACTCATAATGCAACAAAGGAACATGGAGATTCTCGAAAGATACTGTTTACAGATGTAAAATTCAAATCCACACAGTGGAGAAGCCTGATCCCTGCTGATTGTCCTGTTTCTGCTCACCTAAGATTTGAATTTTAACCAATGGTTTAAAAATATTAGTGAGACTGCAGAATGAAATTGACCCAATTATTCTATGTATGTATATGAATATACCTCAGTGAATTCCACCTTTATATACTTATAAAAGCACCAATTTAAAAAACAATAAATAAATAGAAGGAAGACTAGTTGAAGAAGGGGAACTGGGACATGGAGGAAGAGGGGGAAAGAGAAAGTACTGAGAACTGAAATAGAGCAAATCATAATATACGCATTTTAGATTATGTCAAAATGAACCCCACTGTTGTATAACTATAATGCACCAATAAAAACATTTTAAAAGTTTACTGAGAATGGATATTCAATAATCAATATACTTGGCTTTCACTTGTTGCTTTAAAAAATGCTAAATTTTGTCCAAGAAAGAAAGAAGATATCACAGAAATATGACCTAAAAAGCTAGAAAAGATACTTTTCAGGTGCAATCTTTCATTAAATATTTTATGCTATTGATTTCTGGAGAGAGGACAAGTGTAATTGTTAGCACATCAAAAAATGTTCATTAATCCATGGATACTACAGAAGATTATTATGGGTGACCAGTAGGTATTTGACTACATAATACCACAAGAAGATGGTCCAGTGATTTCCAGTAATTACCAAATAATTAGCCATCCACTGAGCAAGCCACATTTTAAATATTTGATTGTCTCAATCTCTTCATTTCTGTCATCACTTCACTTTCTCTTACATGCATAGCTGAGTAGGTGCACTAAATTATCTTATTAAGTAAATTAGACAATATTTATTAATATCTTGAAATTATGAAAGTAAATTTTAATGTAAAATTTGAAAATTATTTCTCCTATTCTGTAACAAATGGGAACATAAAAATGGTAACATATAAAGATATTTATACTCTTCAGTTCCTAATCTCCTTTTTTCTTTAATTAAGAGTCAGCATGTTTGTTGAATTTTAAATGCATTATTTCACCTAGAGATCTTAAAGTACCATAAATTAAAAGCAATAACACTACCTTAAACTTCTAGCAGTGACCCCAATCTAGAGCATTTCCTAATTGTGGTGACATATAATCTGAAGTTAATGTAAAAACAAAAACTTGAAAGAAACTTATTAACTTTCAGACAATGTTGCTTTAAATCCACTAAAACTACAGATAGGTTTTATTAAATATAACATAGTTTAAAATCAAATATTAGAATAAAATTTATTTCTCACAAAGACAAGTTACTGGGCACAGAGACACACACCTATAATCCCAGCTTCTTGGGAGGCTGAGGGAAGAGGATTTTGAGTTTGAGGTCAGCCTAGGGAATTTAATGAGACCCTGTCTCAAAATAAAATATTTGTTAAAGGAGCCTGGGGAAGTACTTCAGTAGTAGAGTGTCTCTGGGAAAAATACCATGTACTGCCAATAAATGAAAATTAATTTTTAAAAGGTGCTTATTTTGAGAAGAGAACAGCAACTTTTATACCCAGAGAAATGCTGGAGGAGATGGGGGGAAATTATCAGTCTGCAACCACATAAAACACCACAAGAGGGCACTTGCACTTGAATTTTCACTATGGTTGCTTAAGTGGGATAAATCTGAATTTTTTGCAGCCTTGCTGGTTAGAGTAATCACTGTAACCATTATGTATAGATAAAATCTAAAAACTCTGCTGCTGTAATAAATCATTAAACTATTATTTATTGATATTGCATAGCATAATGTAACAGAAGAGATGTAATCACATTTGTTAACTTATAGTACAGGCGGGACAGGGCAAACTCAATGGCTCATACATGAAGACAATGCCCTAGGCTGGAGGACCTGGAATGTGGCCACTGACCTATCTGAGATGACATCTCTGACTCACATTTTTATCCTTTGATTTCTACTAACTCAATTGCAGTCCATTCTATGATAACATTGTATCAACAGACTCTTTTCCTCTCTAACCTATCCAGCTGCTCTAACACCACATTTTCAGACTGACATCTGGAAATTAGAGAAGGCGAAGACAGAAAGATGAGGAATCTGCAAAAAGTAAATATCCTAAATATTTTTCTCAAAAAGACTAAGCTTTAAACCTAAAGGAGGTAGCCTTAAAGTAACAAGTGTTGCTGCTATTACTGGGACTAAGGGTTAGCTAGAAATATTAAGAATGCTACAGAAATGAAAACAGCTACATTATTGCACATCTGAGCATTGTGTAAGTGTCCACTCAGATATACAAGCAAAGAAAAGAATACTATTTATATATTACTGTAGTTGATAGAAACAAATTGTGTTAATATTGCAACTTAATATTCATGGGTAATTTTCCTTTATAAATCTTATCTAAATTCTGAGATGTTTTTCTTGAAACATAGAAAAATTGCAATACACCATAGTGCAAAGTAAGTTTTCATTTTCCAGCAGAAATCCATTTATATCTGCAAATTTATACCAATTAATGAAAAAATTAAAGTTTAATGATTTTTATACTTGGCCTCCTATTCTGAATAAATTGGAAAGCAGAGAGAGAAAGGTTATTTTGTAGCTACATTTCATATCTGAGGCTCCCTGGAAATCCCACCCTTGTTTTAAAAGTGTTACTGCTGTAGTTTTTCTGGAGAATGAGGGGGGAAGAGAAATATGGATGGAAGATCCTACCAAGGAGCAATGCCCATGTATAATACAGCTGAATGAATAACATCCCAGACTCTCCCTTCATCAAACAAGTAAACATATGACAAAAAACTAGTAAACAAACAAAAATTCATTAACAGACTTCCACTTCTGGCCATGCTGGAGTAAACGGTACCAATTTACCATAAAAAAAAAAAAAAAAAAAATCACCACCAACACCAACAGAAAAAAAAAAAAAAAAAAAAAAAAAAAAAAAAAAAAAAACCCTCAAAACTGGAAAAACTACATGGAATAGATGACTTTAGATATTGGAAAACAAACAGCAGAAAACTATGGTTCCCAAAAAGGATGGGAAAAAAATGAAAGGATTAAACATTATGTTCATCCCAGCTTTCTGCCTAAAAGCACTTTCTGAGCCAAGATGCAGAATGGGGCATTTTCAAAGGGGAAAGAAAAAGACAATTTCAATAAGTTAAGGAGATAAAAATCAGAGTCCAAGGAGTCTGAATCACTTGAATATTAAAATTAAAGTACTACAGAGGAAAAAGTCTCCTTAGATAAGTCTCTAAAAATCTGTGCAAGGATCCCCTAAATATATGTGACTGAATAATGAGTCAACTATATTTAGGATAAAATTTCACAAGGCTGAGAAAGAAAAACCAAGAGATCATAAGTCAAACATTTCCCAGAGTTCACAGGGAGCTGGAAGACATTCAAGCTCCAGAAAAGAGTATCTTTGCTGACTACACTGGCATTCAGGAGAGACCTGAGAATAGGTCATGCCACAGCAGTTAAGCTAAACAAGCCCTAAACATCTAATTCTAGGTTCACAATGACAAGGTTCTCTGGAGGAAGAAGAACAATCTAGCACAAATCAACATAAAATTAACAATATCCAGTGTCTATATTTAGTCAAAAATTACAAACTATATGAATAAATACATAATGTGGAGAAAAATCAGTGAATCCTCTAAGACTCAGGAATGACTGAGAGTTCAGAATTAAGAAATAAGTATATCAAAAACAAACGAGAAATATTGTTATCAAAACGTGTAAAATTTCTACACTGAGAACTATAAGACAGTGAGAAAAATAAAAGGGCAATAAATAAGCAAAGAAACATACCATGTTCATAGAGAAGAAGACTCAAAGTTGGTAAAGTGTCAGTTTTCTCAAAGTGATCTAGAAATTCAATATAATCCCATTCAAATATTGAGAGACTTTTAAAAAGAAATGGGTAAGTTGATTTAAATATATATGTGAAAATGAAATGAACCAAGACTATCAAAATAATTTTGGAAAAAGGAAAAAAGATGAAAAAGTTCAGAGACTTACATTCTCTTACTGAAGACTTCCTATAAAACTACAATAATCAAGTCTAGTATTAAAGTAAGGCTCCACATGCACATCCATGAAATATAATAAAGTTGAAAAAGAGTAGCCAGGCATAATGTGGCACATGCCTGTAATCCCAGAGACTTAGGAAGCTGATAAAGCAGGATCACAAGTTCAAAGCCAGCCTGAGTAACTTGGTGAGGCCCTAAACAACCTATTGAGTCCCTGTCTCAAAATACAAAATAAAAAGGGATGGGGAGGTGGCTCAATGGTTAAGCACTGCTGATGTCAAAAAAAGAAAAGAATCAACATATGATCAAATGTTTTTTCAACAAATATTCCAAAGCAATACAATAGTTAAAAAAGTATATCAAA